GATGATGATGATGATGATTGATGCCCATCATGATGATGGAGATGTCAAATAATTGGTAACAATTTATTATGAAGATTGTAATGTTATTGGTTGACTTATCTTGTTCTTCTCTATCAGATGATCAGAATGATGAAGTTATCAAAGACTGTGAAGAACATGAACCTCAGACTCAACCACAACAAGATAAAGAAGAAAACATTGAGGCGAACAAAACAGAAGAAGACCCAWGTAACAACAAAGAGGTGAGTGACCAAAAAGGAGAAATTCTTGTTATTGAGAAGTGAAGTCTTTATTCAAAAAGAGTGGGACAAAAAATAATGAAAGGCAAATGATCATAAATTACTKTGCTACACTTACAATAATGTACTACTCTTATTTATACCAAAATACATTAGGCACAATAACATAAAGCAAATGTTGCATTATAAGTGATTGTCTTTAAAAAACTGTTCCCTTATGGAAGGTCATTAGAGGAATGGTTTTCTACAAGGCATATTTTTACTGCAGAAATACTGAAAACCTTTTTTTTTAATTTCTAGGAAAGCGAGGAAGATATTACTAAAGGTTTGTTATGATAATTTTCTCCTATTATTATTATTATTATTATCATTATTATTATTTGCATCAAATTCTAATCTGACATCTAATGTGCAAGCAATAAAAATAACCAATGAAAATTAAATGACCTATTTTTATTTTGTCTTCTCAYCTTTCATCCCTTTCTTTTATTTGATTTTTCTTTTTTCGTCTTTTTTCTGCGTGTGTATGCTTTTCATGCCTCTCTTTCCTGTCCTATCCCTTCATTTTCACTCCCTTTCCATCCTGACCTCTCACATCTGGATCACATCCCATGCAATCACTTCCTGACGTTTCTCATCCTAAATTATCCTATCCCACATTGTTTCATCCAATTCAGCTCTATCATACCCTAACCTACCCTATGTGACCCCCACCYTACTACTCTATCCTAACATATTCCTAAATAACCATCAAAACCCCCCACTATTTTCTATTTTCCTACCTTCCTTTGATGATTTAACATCAAATCCTTGCATTCCTTGGACTCTATTTATTCCAGATCAATCACCAGCTACTAATGGGGAAGCTGAAAAAGAACCAGAACCAGATGAAGAAGTCACAGATACACAACAACAACAACAACAACCTCAACAACAACAACAACCTGAAGTTACTGAAACTGAGTCTGATGTTACAAAGAAAGTTGACAAAGAAACTGGCCTTCAAAATAGTATTGAACACCAACCCCTCCCTACTGGTGGTGATACAGCYGAAGACTCCAAACAAGATGAACCATCTCTAGAACCTGCAGCTGTTCCAGACATCATCCCAGAAGATTCAAGGTCCATAGATTCTCATGTTACAGATGATCATGACGAAACCAAGTCAGTTGACGGCAGTAACTCTGCAACATCTCTTACTGGTCAGCAGCCTGGTCCAGTCAAATTCTCACATGTCACTCAAAAAGATGCTTTTTTAGTGTTCAGATCATTGTGTAAGCTGTCAATGAAACCACTGGCAGATGGTCCACTAGATCCAAAGTATGTATTTTCATTGCTTATGTTTTAATAAACYCATAAAATATTTGAAATATTTGAATATATTGCAAGACAAGTTGCAAAAATGATTGCCCATGTAATTGCTCCTTAAATCAAAAATATTTCATTTAATATTAATGTTTCAGGTCCCATGAGCTGAGATCCAAGATCTTGTCTCTAGAACTTCTGTTGTCATGCTTACAAAATGCTGGTCCTATATTCCGTGACCATGAGATGTTTATCACTGCTATCAAACAGTACCTGTGTGTAGCTCTATCCAAGAATGGCGTATCGTCTGTACCATCAGTCTTCGAGCTGTCATTAGCAATCTTTCTAACTCTCCTGTCTTCCTTCAAGACTCATTTGAAAATGCAGATAGAAGTAAGTGGTTCTTATAGCATTTATCATTATTGAAAATAAACTGGGGGAAAAAAGTATTACAGTAGCTGATTATTCTACTCTAAGACTGCAATTTTATTGAAGCTTGTCTATCATTCAAACCATGCATGCAATTAAGTAATTTTTGTAGGAGCATTAAGGGGGCTATAACCCTTCAATTTCCAAAGATCTACTTGTTTCTTATAAACATTCATAAACAGTATTAAGATTAGAACTGCAAAATCAAAACCTAAATGTAGCCCCCCACCCCCTCCCACTAAAAACATTCAAAGGAGTTTTACATGCTATTTTTCCAACCACCTAAAGTTCATAGTTATGCAGGGGCTGCAGAGCACCCTATAAAGTGCAGGGGCGGGGGCTGAGATTAGAAAATATAAGAGACTTGCATGGGAAAAGTTGGGGGACTGTAGCCCCGTCCCCCTTCCCCACCCCATCTGAGGCAGTGTTATGGGCAATATATTTTTACCTGTATCATTTGGTTAACTCTTTGCTCACCTTTTCTTTAAGGTTTTCTTCAAAGAGATTTTTCTCAATATTCTTGAGACACACACAAGCTCATTCCAGCACAAGTGGATGGTAATGCAGGCTCTCACCAGGATTTGCTCAGGTATCATCTATAGAACTTTAGGCTTTGCTATTCAGGAGAATTTTCAGGTTTTGTGCGAATCTTGAGCTATCGAATGCAATACTAGAAAAAAATTCAGCAACACCAGATCCTGAGGAGGGCCAATGAAGTTTGGTTGAAATGTTGAATGAAACTTGATTATTGYGAGAATTGAGATTCCCAAAAAAATGAATGAACAAAAAAAGCAAACAATCCAGATCCACTGTGGAAACCTTTCCACCTTATGCAAAATGGACCTAATACAATAAGTGATAGAATGATATACAAGTAAATTGAACATCATGTGATCAAGTGGTATACTTTACTCGTCTGACACATAACTTTAAAAAAAAATTCACCATGTAAGAAGATCTTCAATTTCATGCCGTCATTAAAAAGTGTACCACTAATATATTCAATCTATATATTGATTACACTGTGTTTCTCTTCACCAGATGCTCAGTGTGTGGTTGACATCTACCTTAATTATGACTGCGACATGTCACTATCCAACATATTYGAGCGCTTAACAGGTGATCTGTCTAAAATAGCACAAGGAAGACAAGCCATTGAACTGGGAGCAACACCGGTAAGTATGTCAGGCAGGGTGTCGCTATCAGTAACCTTATAAAAATAAAGACTTATAATGGATATATAACCTTATAATGGATATATAACCTTATAATGGATATATAACCTTGTTGTTATGATGTTTTTGAGTGCTTAAATGGTTGTTAAATGTTCTGGTTGATGTTGTACAGGTCCAAGAGAGGAGTATGCGTGTCAAAGGACTAGAGTGTTTGGTATCTATACTAAAGTGCATGGTGGAATGGAGCAGAGAGCTTTACATCAACCCWAACTCTCAGGTTTCTACTGGAGGTAATTAATTATTCACTCATATTATTAGAGACCTTACTTCTTGACAAGTCTAGAGGACAGCAATGCCAAAATGATGACATGAGCATGTATTCAAAGTGTTCTTCCTGCGAGCACCATGTAGTCTATGGCATTGCCGTCCTTGCTAGAATGTCTGCTGATTTTTTTTCATGTCTTAGAGAGAACAACTAGGAAGGCAAGGACAAAGGCGCACATGGATACCATTTTGAAAATGTGCTGGTGATCTTTAAGATCTTTAAATTAGAGYGCTGTACCTGTTAAAAAATCATGCAGCAGACTTCATTCCTCTGTCATAGCCTTGTAGATACTGCCTTTGTAGTTAAATGAGTAAACAAAGATCTCTAGAAAACATAATCATCTTATATCCATTAAGATCATCATCATCATTGCCACCGTCATCATCTGCTGACCTTCCTTTTTGCCTTCAGTCATCATCAGTATCACCTCATGATCACCATAACTATCATCATTACCTTCAATATCATCCTGATCATCACCCTTTATCATTATCACCTTATTAAGAATTCAAYATGCATGCAAATAGTTTTCTTAAAATTATGATTCTGTTTTCCAGACACCCCAAGTATCAAAAGAAAATCCAGCGTAAACGAGAGTGACAAGGAAGAGGACAAAGACAGCAATAATGGTGAACTGAAATCRTTTGGTGGCAGTCAAGGATCCCTAAACTCTACTTCAGCATCATCCAACATCACTCCTGACAACCCTGTGGAGTTTGAATCATTAAAGCAAATGAAAGGGCTTATGGAGGAAGGCATTTCTAAGTAAGGTCCATGAGAAATTGCTCTAGGCATTGGTTTTCTTCAAATTAAATTAGCTGAATTTTCAAATAAATAGTTTAGTTATTATCCAGTGACGATGTTGCATGATAACCCAGGATGTCTGTGTAGGTGATTAATAGTAGATAAATTAAGAAATRTCTTAAGAAGTTAGCAATTATCTTGGTGCAAACAGCTTGCAGTTTACCATTTGTCTGTCACTCCGTCTGTACATTCCATGATAACGCTTGTGATTATTTTGTATTTGCTTTGTTTGACTATTCAATAGATTTCTTGTTAGACCCTTGTTTGCTTATCATTTCATCTATTTTTTGCTCTTAGATTTAATAAAAGCCCCAAAAAAGGAATCAAATTTCTTCAGGAAAATGGTCTCCTTGGAACATCAGCTGAGGAAGTTGCTGAATTCCTTCACACCGATGAAAGACTAGACAAGGTGAGGCTAACCTGGATTAACATTATTAAGCTTTCGTAAAAGCTTGAATGTAAATTTAATGAATATTAAATTGATTATAATAAGAAATTGTGAATTAATTTTCAATTGAATAATCATAAATTTTCATGGCCAATTAACACTTTTTTCTCTTTGTAGACCCAATCTGGAGAATATTTAGGAGATCATGATGAGTAAGTATTGTAAGGGCATGGCAGTCACTGAGAGAGATGGGGTTATTGTTCTTGGGAGAGGGCCGGGGGTCAGGATTGGAGTGCATTCATAAACTTCTTAGCTTCATGCAGATGCATAAAATCTCAACATGCTTTAGGCCATGATATGTAGCTATTTCTCTACCTYCAATTTACTAACACTTTGTTTTTATTTTCCAGCTTCTGTAAAGAAGTAATGTATCGATACGTTGACAAACTAGAGTTCACAGACCATGATTTTATCAGTGCTCTGAGAATATTCCTAAATAACTTCCGCTTACCTGGTGAAGCACAAAAAATTGACAGAATGATGGAAAAATTTGCCAGCAGATATCTGGAGACTAACCCAAAGTAAGACAATTAACTGTCATTTAAAAATGGTTTGCATTTTAGAGTCATTCAACAAATCTCCCCTGCAAGTAGTACTGTTTCTCAAAGCCAGCAATGCCAGCAATCACTATCCTTCAGATGTAATACACCTTCCATGCATGTTAGATCGTCCCACGCCTAGTATGGATYGAACTACATTCTGTACAGTCTAAAATACTATTATTACAGTGCRACTACTCCAACTAAGGCCACCTTGACAAATTCTATAAATTATCCTTAGTGTTTGRGTATTTAGACAATAGATCAGCAGCAAATTTTGAATTTGAATATTCTTCCATTGTTCTGGTTGGTACTAAACTAAATGATGAAGGGATGGCCTTGGTTGGAGTAGTTTTACTGTGAGTGTAGACTTTAAACTTTAGTGAATAAATACATTCATCAGTCTGTTTCTCTCCTTTCAATATTTCAACCCCCCTTGCCCCTGAGTTGAATGTCATTTAAAACTGTGCAATCCTAGCATCATTGTGTAAGATCCATTCTTTCATTGGACCTAATGTAGTTAATTTTCTTTTTTAGTAACACAGTTTTTGCCAGTGCTGATGCAGCTTATGTCCTGGCATACTCCATTATCATGTTGACTACAGACTTGCATAACTCTCAAGTAAGGCCATTCTTCTGAAGATTACATTCATAACAGTGCAATGGAGCCTTGCATCTGTGCTAATGTTATGGTGCATGTCTTCACTTGAGGACTTGCCCTAAGAGGTCACACGAMCCTAACCCCTTTAAATACAAGCAGTTGTGTAAATGAACTCTTACTCTGTAAGCGACTCTATATGAGCAAGAAACCAAGTTTCAGTAACTACACAGCCTGTAATGTAGAATTTGGGAGAAGTGGTATTTAATATACATTRAGTAGATATTTCATTTGATTTTTATGGAAAATTGTGCTTGATGACAAGACTAGTGGTGTGGGGTGGGCTTGGGGGCCTTTGTTTCCCCATGTTTATAACCAAAAATGATTTTCTGTTGGTTTTCTGCCTCAATTTCAAAATKTTCATGGTGAGCGTGACATTCCCCTGGCCAGATTCCTCAAATAARCCCCCAACTCAAAACCATGTTCTGTGGTCCCTGAAAACACTACTTGTTATAAGGGATGTAGGTGCACATGACCTCTTAGTCTTAGCCCAAGTCCTCAATTTTCTTCTCTCTTTAAAATTAATTTTCCCACCATAGTGACATTAATCATCAATAAAACATTGATATTTAGGTTAAACGGAAGATCACCAAGGAACAGTACATCAGCATGAATAAGGGCATCAATGACAGTAAAGACTTACCTCAGGAGTACCTGGAAAGTATTTATGATGAAATCCTGCAAAATGAAATCAAAATGAGAAACCCACCAAAGACAGCCAACAGATATAACACTATTTGTAAGTATAGCAATGCTGAATATCCTAGATGAATAGTACTTGTGTTTTGGAATAATTGATTATTAGCATGAGAAGTGAATAGAGAGAACACTACCAGGATAATATTGACGGGCCTTTTCTGAGTTTGATAAACAGAATGTATTGTCTAGTTTAAGTAGAAAYAACACCATACAAGGGGCATAATGAAGAAAATATTTTGTACCCAAAAACAACCACAATGCATCATGTTTGGTATCTCAGAAAAGGTCCATGGGAATCAGGACCCCCCTACTACCCCCACTACTCCACCCCCACTACCCCCGAGACTCCCTTATGGTCATAAACATATCAAGAGACCCTCACAATCCGACATCATCTCTTTTGGAAAGAGACCCTTTCAATTTTGATTAGCTACCCCTATGAAACTGTCACTACACCACCTGTGATTGTCTTATTGAGAGACCCCTAAAAAAAGTCTCATAACCCACATGTTTGGTATAGATCTTCAAAATGAAAAGCATCGACGTGTACTCTACTACCAAGAAATGGAGCAAATGGCACAGACTGCTAAATCACTGATAGAAGGGGTCAGTCATGTACAAACCACATTCACCAGCGCTACCCACGTGGAACATGTCAGGCCAATGTTCAAGGTAAATAAAACCTACTCACTTTTTGTCCTGTAGTTTTGAAATGGTATAAAAAAACAATATTCAGTCTTCCCAATTTCCTTATGCTCAACTTTGTGGGGCACTGTTTAAATACAATTTTTAACACAAATATAAATTTTCTGGCTTTCTGATTGGTTGAGAGGCRTGGTAAACAAGAGGACATACCAACAAATAATGTCAACAAATAAATTACGGATGGCTCATGCACAAAGCCAGCGTATGCTTGAAACCATTTTTATTTTTGTACCAAAAAACAAATTTCTGATGGTTTAGCATTGTATGTTCTCTTATTTACCATGATATGACTTCAACAGTTGGTCAAAATTAATTACCAACTAGGTCATACCTCATGAGTACATAACGTTTTGGCCAACTATTATGTCCCATATGTTTTCCCATGATATAAAATACATCTATAACAATATGTTTTTGTTTCAACAATTACTACAACTTACTGTACTACAGTTATATACAACTACTGATAATAATAAACAACTTACCATGATAACCAATTTCCAGGTTACCTGGACACCCTTTCTGGCAGCATTCAGCGTCAATCTACAGCACTGTGATGAACCACAAGTAGCTTCTCTGTGTCTGGATGGTATCAGGTGTGCCATTCGTATTGCTTGTATATTTGGCATGCAGGTGAGAGTATTAATAATAATTGTACTTGAAATTTCAGCTTCTATCCCTTTCGTTATAGCCTTTGTGTTGGCCTGAAATTCTGTTTACTGCAAATGGGACTTACCAATGAGGCATTTTGCTTTGCTTTTTTACTTGCAATCCCTAGATTTCAGGGGATGGCTGTCATCCTTTTCCTTACCCAAATGGAGAAGTCTAGCCAYCCAATCCCCCTGATTTCTTGGTTTCACCTTTTCATGTTTGTTTTCCACACAACACTTCTCTGAATCCTCATTTTTTCTTGCTCCCAAAAAAGCCAGAATTAACTCCAATTCATTCCATCACAAATGCTGGCTTAGAACATACTTTCGATTCATTCTGGTCTTATAAAGCGAATGCTTTCATAGATTGATATAATTTTTGACTTTATTATTACCTTTATTCCCACAGCTTGAGCGAGACAGCTTTGTACAAGCCTTGTCAAGATTTACTCTACTCACAGCTTCAGGATTACATGAAATGAAGTCAAAGAACATTGATACCATTAAGACGCTAATCACAGTAGCTCAAACAGACGGCAATTACCTTGGTCACTCTTGGCATGAAGTATGTACACAACTATTGTTCATTATTATAATCAGGTGTCACCTATTTCTGAGTTATTCTTATTAGGCCCCGYCCACACGTATCCGGAAATTTTTGTATCCGCAATTTTTTTTTTTTTTGCGGATACGGGTTGCGTCCACACGCAGCGTATTCGAATCGTTTTCGAATTGTTTTCACTGTCCACACGTATCCGGAAATTTCTTGATCCGCCCTGATGTACGCTAGTGCCTAGTCCCTTTGACGGATAGTCTTTCTTATTGAGCATGCGCAAAATTGTTTTTACGTCAGCGTATTCGAAAATTTGCGGATACGACCGTCCCCACGTATCCGTATTCGGAGCGTATTCGAAAATTTCCGGATATGGATACAGAAATTTCCGTACACGTGTGGACGCAACCCGTATCCGAAAAAAAAAAAAAAAGGGCGGGTACACAAATTTCCGGATACGTGTGGACGGGGCCTTATATTTTAATCTATTGTTCCAGTTAATGGCTGTCGTGTCATCGCTTATCATCAATTTTCACTTTACAGATCCTCAAATGCATCTCTCAGCTAGAGTTAGCCCAAATGATAGGCACAGGAGTCAAGGCTGGTCCTGTAGTTAATACCCTAAACCCTTCGTATCCTGTCCGCCACGCCCCTGGATCAGCTGCTACTCCTTCTAGAAGTATTCCTACTCCATCACAAGAACTTGTTAATGATCCCAAGAAGTTTGCCGTTATGCAGGAGACAGTAGGAGAGACAAGCTCACAGAGTGTTGTTGTTGCTGTCGACAGGTAAACTACAATTATTAGTAAATATCTCATGATTTTGGGTTATTTTATTGCTGGTTTGGAATCATTTCCAAGAGAATAAAATAACAATAAATAAGGCGGCCATGGCAGATGATTTAACAAAAGACATGGTGGCCATGTTGAATGACATAACAAAAGACAAGGCGGCCATTTTGGATGACATAACAAAAGACATGGCGGCCATATTAGATGAAATAACAAAAGACAAGGCGGCCATGTTGGATGACATAACAAAAGACAAGGCGGACATGGATGAAATAACAGAAGAGACAAATAACAAATCGTTTGTTAAATTCATCCAAAATGGTGGCTATGATAACCAGCAATGCAGTTGGAATGCAGTTGGAATGCAGCTCAATTTGAAGACATAACAATAGGTTTCCAATTCTCATGAGTATGAAATTCTTTCTTTTTGTCCTCCAAATTGAGCTGTTTTGAAGTCACATGCAAGGGGTCTATTGTCATTTATAGCGTAAGAGCTATGTGTATTATGTACTACTGCTCCCTGTTCTGTTTTGTTCATTAACACCAATTGTCTTAGTATTCTTATGAAGAAAGAAGTTGCGTGACCGTTTTGGGATGCGTGACACCATTCAGAAGCACCGAACACCATTTTAAAATTTGATAGTCAACCCTTCTTGCGATCTAACCTGTTATTATTAATGCTAGAGTACATCTATAGGAGTGGTATAAAAYGATAAACATGCTTTCCCATTTTTCGCTTTTTCAAATGGTATTTTCATTTTCTGTCCACAGAGTATTTACTGGCTCTACTAAATTGGATGGGGAGGCCATTGGTAAGAAACGCATTAATATTATGTTTAAGATACTCAGTTGTAACTCTAGAAATTGTGTTTTTGCACCCTCCCCTTCCCACGCCCATAAATATACAGCTTGGCCTGCCTTTGGTTAGATGGCAGAAAAATAAAATCCCTTTGCTCCGATTGTATTGTTCCTGCCATCTAACATGGCTGCCGWCATGTGACGGTGCAAAACATATATTCTGGTTTATTGACACACAATGTTACCATCATAGAATGCTGATGAGCCACACTAGAAACATATTTTCACACAAGAAGCCATTTGAGAGCACTCCATCATAGAAGATAGAAAGAAGGATTGATTGTATGAGATCAGTTTTTCACTGAATGTTTATTGTGTTTGATATTTCAGTGGATTTCGTCAAAGCGCTGTGCATGGTGTCATCTGAAGAACTGTCCAATCACAACCATCCACGTATGTTCAGCTTGACCAAGATGGTGGAGATATCCTATTACAATATGGCTCGTATTCGTATTGAATGGTCCCATATATGGGCTGTGCTGGGTGAACACTTCAATAAGGTACCATGAATGTTATATTCACCATTTTCCATACATCGGTTCACTGGTCAAACACAAAGCGCTCAAGCGAGGCGCCAAGGATTATTCAAACTTGAACCTTGCAACCTCGACTAAATGCTTTGTGTTTGACCACTGAACCGATGAATGGAAAATGGTGAATAACATCATTATCATCATCATCATCATCATCATCAACACTAGCATAATGGTATATTTAACATTACTGTATTTTACTTACTAACAGTGTGGTTGTAATCCAAATGAAGACGTCGCATTCTTCTGTGTCGACTCCCTTCGTCAGTTATCCATGAAGTTCCTGGAAAAGGGAGAATTGCCCAACTTCCGGTTCCAGAAAGACTTCCTGCGACCATTTGAGCACATCATGAAGAAAAACAGGTACTGTAGTAAGCTGGGACGCGGACAGTTTAGCAGCCGCGTCRATTCCCGCCAAAATCTGATGTGAATTTCGTAAGAAAGCCTATCAATGTTTTAACTTTCAATTTCAGATCTGCTACTATACGAGACATGGTAGTTCGCTGTGTAGCTCAAATGGTGCACTCGCAGGCTCACAATATCAAATCAGGCTGGAAGAACGTGTTTTCTGTGTTTCATTTGGCTGCGTCTGATGTTGATGAAGGCATCGTTGAACTGGCTTTCCAAACCACTGGTACGTAGCTTACTTCAGGATGAATTTATTAAAATACTGTCAAGCTTATCAGTTGTGAAGTATTTCCGGGTCCAGTTGAATCTGCTAAAATAACGCTAAAAATATCATGCATGTCCAAATTTTGTTTAAATCTGATTTAACAATCAATTTACTTTCCGAGAATACGGTCATGTGGGATGACTATTTGGATCTTCTTTCCTTACCTTACATAAAATGYTTAGTCAGCGTGCTTCAGATTCATATTTCCACGCAGTAGATGGAAGAATGAATTGAGAGAATTACTTGACCGTATTTGAGATGTTAGACCAGCTGTTTTAGTAAATCTTGATGAGGACTTGAGACTTGAAGACGATAGCGCAGGCGCTCAGRTCAGGTCAGGTCAGGGAGTGTGATCTTTGGTTACATTTGGCTCGGTAAATATCTAAGCAGTATTTAGAAGTTATAAAGTCTGTGAACACACCATTTTCATTCTCTCGTGTTCTAGAAATTTCTTTTCAACTGGTCGGGATATGCATTTGTATTGGAATTTCTTTACCTTATGGTAGATGCCCTACGAGCAGAGGTCGTTTTGYTTAGCGTCAGGCTGGTCGGGGAGACCGACCAAAAGCCAGAACGGAGTGCAGAAAAAGATCTTTGCGAGCAGGGTGTATATGGTATAGAGTATAGTCAGGTCCAAAAACTACCACACACTTACCAAGGATTAATCTTTCATATGCTTTCAAAATAAACCCGGTCTGAAGGTTATTCCGGTTCCTTTAGGATGWTTCGTGTTGTATTGACCACTGTAATGTCTCCTTTACTTCCAGCAACCATTTTCGAGAAGTACTTCTCAGCCACSATCGATTCATTCCAAGATGCTGTCAAGTGTCTATCGGAGTTTGCTTGTAATGCGTCCTTCCCAGACACTAGTATGGAAGCTATTCGACTAATACGAAACTGTGGCAAATATGTGTACGATAACCCTGAGGTAAGGTCGTTGTAACGGTAAAGCCATGTTCAAACATGCATCATCAATGTAACCACGATAACACTGAACCATTTTCTCTGCAACTTTTCTCGCGACAGCGTTGCGACACAAGTTGCAAGAGTGTTTTACACGGTGCAACGGAGACTCAAACGTTGCCAACAGTAGAAACGAATTTGGTGCAACTTGTTTCGCAAATTTTTCCAAATTGTGCTRAGGTTACACGCTACAATGCTCCACCCGCGGCGTTGCGAGACAAGTTTTAAAAAATTACTCCGTGTAATCGCATCTTTTCAAAGACACAGTTATAAAATTTCTCGCTTACGAGCCAGATTTATTTTCTGGTTGTTTATGCCCGGGCGGATGTGAGGACAGCGGTGAAAAAGCTATTGTTCAAGGTAGCATCGGTACCGTGTGCGTGATAAAGGCCAATAATTGCACATGGATAATGCTCGTCTAGTTCACGTTCATGGGAAGCGTGTTGCACGCACTTTTTTATTACTTTCGTATACATATTAAATCCCTAAAATTGCTTGGCATATATTTTTCCTAAAATTGTTTGGCATATATTTTTGATATTTTGTGATGATTTTTTCTTCAGATGTTTAAAGATCACAGCTCTGAAGACGGTGTGATATCTGAAGCCGATAGGGTCTGGGTCAAAGGCTGGTTCCCAGTACTATTTGAGCTCTCGTGCATTATCAACCGATGTAAACTGGACGTTAGAACAAGGTAAGAATTAGGACAGACATGACCGAAGATACGAACAATAATACCTTATATGTTCTAAGTATCTATGTCGCATTACAGTTTGGTCCCAGCTAA